TTGTTGACCACAAACAGACCTCTAAATCGCCTTGCCTGCCCACCCACTCCTCCCAGCAGCCCAAGAGGGGCATTGAGGAGCCCGCAGGCTTCGGGTCTGATAGGAAATGTGACAGTTGCAGTCTAGAACAGGTCTAGAACACCCGTTCTAGACCCTGCACCGTGTCTCTCATAGGCCTCCATTGCATTCCCACCCACTCCTCCCAGCAGCCCAAGAGGGGCATTGAGGAGCCCACAGGCTTTGGGCTGCAGTCTAGAACAGGTCTAGAACACCCGTTCTGGACCCTGCACCGTGTCTCTCCTAGCCCTCCAATGCATTCCCGCCCTCTCCTCCCAGCAGCCCAAGAGGGGCATTGAGGAGCCTTGGGTCTGATAGGAAATGTGACAGTTGCAGTCTAGAACAGGTCTAGAACACCAGTTCTAGACCCCGCACCGTGTCTCTCATAGGCCTCCATTGCATTCCCGCCCTCTCCTCCCAGCAGCCCAAGAGGGGCATTGAGGAGCCCACAGGCTTTGGGCTGCAGTCTAGAACAGGTCTAGAACACCCGTTCTGGACCCTGCACCGTGTCTCTCCTAGCCCTCCAATGCATTCCCGCCCTCTCCTCCCAGCAGCCCAAGAGGGGCATTGAGGAGCCTTGGGTCTGATAGGAAATGTGACAGTTGCAGTCTAGAACAGGTCTAGAACACCAGTTCTAGACCCCGCACCGTGTCTCTCTTAGGCCTCCATTGCATTCCCGCCCTCTCCTCCCAGCAACCCAAGAGGGGCATTGAGGAGACCACAGGCTTTGGGTTGCAGTCTAGAACAGGTCTAGAACACCTGTTCTAGACCCTGCACCGTGTCTCTCCTAGCCCTCCATTGGATTCCTGCCCTCTCCTCCCAGCAGCCCAAGAGGGGCATTGAGGAGCCTTGGGTCTGATAGGAATGGTGGGAGTTGCAGTCTAGAACAGGTCTGGAACATGTCTCTGGCTAGGAATGCACATGGATCCGTGCGCATGGATCCGTGAGCGCAAGCATGCTTTGTTTCTCTTCCAGGGACACGGCCGGGCAGGAGCGCTTCAAGACCATCACCACCGCCTATTACCGGGGCGCCATGGTAGGACCCCGGGACCCTCCCTTTCCCGGCCTTAGTGGCACTAGAACTCCCCCCCCCCCCCCAGGTGTTGTTTTGGGTATTTCTGTCTTAACTTCTTTCCTGCCAATCGCAGAATCACATAATAACATTGGAAGGGACCCCAGGGGCCATCCAGTCCTCATGCAGGAAAAGCCCAGTCAAAACCCCCCCGACAGATGGCCACCCAGCCTCTGTTTAAACTGCTGCGAACGTGTCCTTCCCGGGTCTCTGTGTTCCTCCTCGCAGGGCATCATCCTGGTCTACGACATCACCGACGAGAAGTCCTTTGAGAACATCCAGAACTGGATGAAGAGCATCAAGGAGGCAAGTCCCGTTTCCGTGCATTTCCACCCTATGGAATGGATGTATATATGTTGTTAATCTGTGTCCTTTAATTATGTTGCACGCTGCCTTCTGCCGGGAGGAGAGGCGGGTAAGAAATAAAATAGAATGATTATTACATCATCATCATCATCATTATCATCATTATCATTATTATTATTATTATTATTATTACGGACACAAAAACACAGTATGTCACGGCAAATGAGATCTATATGTGTCAGGAGTCAATTTCTGACGGCATGATGACATCACAAATTCCCTCCATGACCTCCTGACTGAATCATCCTGGCTGATCAATTCTCTCTCTGTGATATTCTGAAGCCAGACGAGGACGCTGGAAACCATGTGTTGCATCCCAGATCCGGAAACGAGACCATAAGATTAAATCCACCACACTGGACTGTGGGGAAAAAACAATCCTTTTTATTGATGAAAAATGGTTACAAAAGAAAGGTAAATGCAAAGTCAAAAAGCCACAGTAGAAACTCAGCAGTCATGAAAATCTCTGAACTTGAGCACAATTCCAAAAGCCACAATACAAAAACCTGGAACCTGTCAGCATTTTACTAACCGTACTTGAAAACTAGAAGCCTCTGGGAATGCAGACCATGGCAAACGGGAACTCTGCCAAGGTGTTGCCTCAGTCTAAACATTGCTTGATCTAACAAGACAGCCCGGGGAAAGGCCCCTTAAACCAAATAAACTGTTTCTTGACACGCCTCCAGGCTTTGAAGCCTGAGCCTCCCTTTCCCTTAATCTACTTGACCTTCGCAGACCCTGCGATTCACTCCTGTTTTTCCAAATCTGTTCTCTTCTATCATTAAAAAAAACCCAGGTGGGAGTTCCTCTGGAGAGCTATCACTGCTTGGTTCCAAAACATCCTCATCAAGAAATTTAGTTTCACTTTCCCCGTCACTGACCTCAGAATCAACAGTTTCCAAATCATCCGGGAAAGATACATGTTCAGTAGCCTGTTCAGTAGCATCAGGAAATACAATCAGAGAATCAGGTTCAGGTTCACACGGAGGCTGAACCCCAGCACCATGTTATGGAACTTGTGAAGCAACAAGTTCTAATAAGGAAGCTGAGAAGAGGGGGAGATGGGCAGGGAAGGGGTCTACAAGGAAGCGGTGGCGGGGGGAAAAAGTCCGGAGGGTCTTAATGGAAGACTGTAGGATCTATCTAGCAATATTAAATAACCACTCACAAGCCATCTTTGCTGCAGAAATACAAGCAATATATCCATTTCAAAGCAGAACCGGCTTGTGAGTGGATATTTAATATTGCTAGAGAGATCCTACAGCTTTACAATATGCTGGGTTATTATTATTATTATTATTATTATTATTATTATTATTATTATTACCATCATCATCATCATCATCACCACTACTAACATGGTTGTTGTTCTTATGTGTGCAAAGGGCCAGTGAATGGGGGGTGGCTGGGTACACAAGGGGTGCGTCTACACTGTCAAATGGATGCGGTTTGAGACCATCCCTCCCGTTGCGCAGAACGCGTCCTCCGGCGTGGAGCGGCTCCTCCTGGGAAACAAGTGCGACATGGAGGCCAAGCGCAAGGTGCCCCAAGACAAGGCCCAGAAGGTACCCAGGGGAAGGGGGCTTCAGGGGTCTCTCTCTCTCTCTCTCTCTCTCTGCCGGAAGGAAGGCCTGGGTTCCTCACAGGTTCAGGAGGTTACTGGCGCACCTCCCTGACCTGGCTCCTCTGCTTGCATCCCTCTTCCCCCTTCCTTCCTTCCTTCCTTCCTTCCTTCCTTCCATCCATCCATCCATCCATCCATCCATCCACTCTCTTTTCCTAACTGTATTCCTTCTCTCCTTTCTTCTTTTTCTACATTCTTTCCATCCTTCCTTCCTTTCTCTCTTTCCATCCTTACTTCCCTCTGTCTTACCTTCCTTCTCTCCTTCCTTCACCTCCCTCCCTCCTTCCTTCCGTCCATCTTCCTTCTTTCTTTCCTTCCTTCCTTCCTTCTTTCCTCTCTCCCTCCCACCCTCCCTCTCTTCTCCTTTCCTTAATTTCCCTTCTTTTTCTCTTTTTCTTTCTCGCCTTCTTTCTATTTCTTTCTCTCCCCTCATTCCTTTCCTTTTTCTTCCTTCCCTCCTTTTTTCCTCCCTCTCCCTCTTCTCCCTCCCTCCTTCCTTCCTTCTTCCCTCTTCCTTCCCTCTTTTCTTCCTCCTACCCCCCTTCTCTCTTCCTTCCCTTTTTTCCTCCCTCCCTCCCTCCCTCCCTCCCTCCCTCCCTCCCTTCCTCTCCCCTACTTTTTTTCCTCCCTTCCTCCTACACCTCTTCTCTCTTCCTTCCTTCCTTTTCCTTTTCCCCCCTCCTTTTTTCTCCTTCCCTTTTCTCCTCCCTCCTCCTACACCTCTTCTCTCTTCCCTTCTCTTTTTTCCTCCCTCCCTCCCTCCCTCCCTTCCTCTCCCCTACTTTTTTTCCTCCCTTCCTCCTACACCTCTTCTCTCTTCCTTCCTTCTTTCCTTCCTTCTTCCCTCCCTCCTCTTCTTCTCTCTTCCTTCTCTCCTTCTTCCTCCTCCTTCCTTCCTTCCTTTCCTTCCCTCCTTTTTCCCTCCTCTTCCTCCTTCTCCTTTCCTCTCCTCTTCCCTCCTCCTTCCTCCCTTCCTTCTTTCCTTCCTTCTTCCTTTCCTTCCTTCCTCTTCCTTTTCCTTTCCTCCTTCCTTCTCTCTCCCTCTCTTTTTTTCCTTCCTCCTCCCTTTTTCCTTTTCCTTCCCTCCTTTTTCCCTCCCTCCCTCTCTCCTCCGCCTCTTTCCTCTCCTCTTTCTTTTTCTTCCTTCCTTCCCTCCTTCCTCTTCCTCCTCACGCCTCCGCTTCTTCCTTCTCCCCGCGCAGCTCTGCAAGGAGCACGGGATCCGCTTCTTTGAGACCAGCGCCAAGTCCAGCACCAACGTGGAGGAGGTGAGTGAGCCCCAGGGGAACGGGGGCGTGGGGGGCGCCTCACCCGGGACCCCGGCCCACCCTTCTTCCCCTTCTCCCTCTCTCTCTCCCGCAGGCCTTCCGCACTTTGGCCCGGGACATCCTCCTCCAATCCAGCAAAAGATCCGTGAGTATTCATACTTATTATGACCCTTAAGCCAGGAGGGGGTTGTCATTCATTATTATTATTATCTCCATCACCATCATCTTTCGGGCAGGAGGGTGTGTGCATTAATTCTACAGATGGTAGTAATAATAATAATAATAATAATAATAATAATAATAATAATAATGGCTATAGAGGCACATTATTATTATCATTATCATTATCATTATTATTATTATTATTATTACCACCATCACCATCACCTTTCAGGCAGTAGGGTGTATCTACATTGAGTAACAAATGCAGCTTGGCACCACTTGCATATTATTATTATTATTATTATTATTATTATTATTATTATCACTACCTCCTAGGATGCTTGCCATAGATGCAGGCGAAACGTCAGGAGAAAATGCCTCTAGACCATGGCCATATAGCCTGAAAAAACCTACAACAACCCAATAATAATAATAATAATAATAATAATAATAATAATAGTTTCCCCCATACAGCCAGGCAGGGAGTGGATTGTGGCCATTGCAGTCCCAACATGGGTCCAAGCCTCTCCTTCCTCTTCCTCTTCCTCTTCCTCTTCCTCTTCCTCCCAGGCTCCGCAACCCAAGGGCCCCGTGGACCTCAAAAGGGCGCAGAAAAGCCACAGCAAGTGCTCCTTGGCCTAACGATGGACGGACAGATGGATGGAAGCCTGCTTGATGTGCCAAGACAGAGGTCCAGCTGGCTGGATCACTCTCTCTCTCTCTTCCTCCTCCTCTGCACATCCTTTGGTTCTGAATGGCTCTCCTTTCCCCTGGGATCAAGGAGCCGGAAGCAGGAATGGATGCGGATTCAGCCCCTCACTTGAAACCACACTGAGTCCTGGGAGTTGTAGTTCCCCAAGGTCTTTCTCTTTCTCTGGAGGCTTCTATAATGTAGAATGGATGCAGGTTCACCCCTGCCTTGGGCTCAATGCAGTGGGAATCCTGGGAGTTGTAGTTTCCCAAGGCCTTTGGCCTTTTTAATGCCCAAGAGGTCACGCAGCTTGGCCCCACTCAAACTGTTACAGGGTCCTGGGAGTTGAAGTTTTCCAAGGTCTATTATAACCATGGACCATAATGTAGAATGGATGCAGATTCACCCCTGCCTTTGGGCTCAATGCAGTGGGAATCCTGGGAGTTGTAGTTTCCCAAGGCCTTTTGTCTTTTTTACGTAGCTTGGCCCCACTCAAACCGCTACGGCGTCCTGGGAGTTGTAGTTTCCCAAGGTCTGTTTCAACTATGAGCCTGCGCATGCCTATGGGGATGGATGGCCATCTGTTGGGAGGAATTAGATGGTGTCTCCTTGCCTGGTAGAAATGAGGATAGACTGGATGGCCTCTGGGGTTCCCTTCCAACTCTTCCATAGCCTCTATTTCATCCCTTAACCTGCCCTTTTCCTATTGGGTTGGATGGCCATCTGTCAGGAGGGATCAGATTGTGCCCCGTCTTGAGTCCCGGCCATTCTACAGTATAGATTATCTTTTATTTTGTGGGGGGAAAAAGGGATTGTTCGGGGATTGTTTGCACCGAGTTCCACGTTACGCATAGGAAAGACCCCCCCCCCCCCCCCCCCCCCGGTCGGTCGGTCGGTGCAAAGCCCCCAAAAGGGAGAACATTCTAGATCTCGGTTGCCTTTTGTAATCTTTCGAAACAGTATTAAAAACGGATTTTGGAATGTTTTGCAGTGATTTTTGCAGCGGAAAACAAGCGGGGGATCTCTTGCATGGGGAGTTTGGCCCAATTCTATCCTTGGTGGGGTTCAGAATGCTCTTTGATTGTAGGTGAAATATAAATCCCATCAACTACAACTCCCAAATCTCAAGGTCTATTTCCCCCAAACTCCACCAGTGTTTACATTTGGGCATATTGAGCATTCGTGCCAAGTTTGGTCCAGATCCATCATTGTTTGAGTCCACAGTGATCTCTGGATGTAGGTGAACTACAACTCCCAAATGCAAGGTTCAATGCCCACCAAACCCTTCCAGTATTGTCTGTTGGTCATGGGAGTTCTGTGTGCCAAGATTGGTTCATTTCTATTGTTGGAGGAGTTCAGAATGCTCTTTGATTTTATGTGAACTATAAATCCCAGCAACTACAACTCCCAAATGTCAAGATTCTATTTTCCCCAAACTCCACCAGTGTTCACATTTGGGCATATTGAGGATTCGTGTAAAGTTTGGTCCAGATCCATCATTGCTTGAGTCCACAGTGATCTCTGGATGTAGGTGAACTACAACTCCAAAACCAAAGGACACTGCCCACCAAACCCTTCCAGTCTTTTCTGTTGGTCATGGGAGAGCTGTGTGTCAAGTTTGGTTCAACTCTATCGTTGGTGGGGTTCAGAATGCTCTTCGATTGTGGGTGAACTATAAATCCCAGCAACTACAACTCCCAAATGTCAAGGTCTATTTCCCCAAAACTCCACCAGTGTTCACATTTGGGCATATTGAGTATTCGTGTAGAGTTTGGTCCAGATCCATCGTTGTTTGAGTCCACAGTGCTCTCTGGATGTAGGTGAACTACAACTCTCAAACTCAAGGTCAATACCCACCAAACCCTCTCAGGATTTTCTGTTGGTCGTGGGAGAACTGTGTGCCAAGTTTCGTTCAATTCCTGCGTAGGTGGAGTTTGGGATGCTCTTTGATTGGAGGTGAACTATAAATCCCAGCAACTACAACTCCCAAATGTATAAAATATAATAAATATTTAAAAATAAATAAAATATAATAAATATTGTTACATCTTAATCTATGCACATAATAAAAGTGTAATATACAATAAAATATTATTACAATATATAAAATGTATAAAATATAAAACATAATTTAAAATATATAAAATATAAAAAATTATTACAATATATAAAATGTATAAAATATAATAAATATTGCAAATATATAAAATAGAATAAAATATTGTTACACTATATAAAATGTATAAAATATAATAAATATTTAAACATATAAAATATAATAAAATATTGTTACATCATAATCTATGCACATAATAAAAGTGTAATATATAATAAAATGTTATTATTACAATATATAAAATGTATAAAATATAATAAATATGAAAAATATAATAAAATATAATAAAATATTATTATTACATCATAATCTGTGCCCATAATAAAAGTGTAATATATTACGATATATAAAATATAGTAATATTTAAAATATATAAAATATAATAAAATGTTATTATTACAATATATAAAATGTATAAAATATAATAAATATGAAAAATATAATAATAATAATTAATATTAAAATATTATTATTACATCATAATCTATGCACATAATAAAAGTGTAATATATAATAAAATGTTATTATTACAATATATAAAATGTATAAAATATAATAATATTTAAAATATATAAAATATAATAAAATGTTATTATTACAATATATAAAATGTATAAAATATGAAAAATATATAAAATATAATAATAATTAATATTATTAAAATATTATTATTACATCATAATCTATGCACATAATAAAAGTGTAATATATAATAAAATATTGTTATTACAATATATAAAATATAATATTTAAAAATATATAAATTACAATAAAATTTTATTATTACAATATATAAAATGTATAAAATATAATAATATTTAAAATATATAAAATATAATAAAATTTTATTATTACAATATATAAAATGTATAAAACATAGCAAATATGAAAAACATATAAATTACAATAAAATTTAGGGAGCTGCAGTTTGGAGGAAATTGGATGGAAATCCCCCTAACTAAAGAGACTTGAGTTTCGCCGCTAGTTTGGATCTCTATACCTTTCCTAAGTCTAGAGTCTCGAAGGAGGAAGAGGCGCGCCTTTGGCCGAAGGGGGCGCCTTCCTGGCTTGACGGCCGCGCTTCCCTTTTGCGACAGAGTGACGTGGAGGGTGTCGCGCTGGCCCTCGCTTGACGGCAGCCGGGCGGAAATGAGCGTCTACGACCTCTTTCGGGGCTTCTTCGGCTTCCAGGGGGGGAACAGGTGGGGAAGGAGGAGGAGGAGGAGGAGGAGGAGGGAGGCCCAAGCATCCCTCTATCCGTCCACCTCCTTCCCTGGAGGTCTTTAAGCAGAGGCTGACTGGCCATCTGTCGGGAGGGATCGAATGGTGTCTTTTTCCCTGGCAGAAGGGGGTTGGACTGGATGGCTATTGGGGTCTCTTCTAACTCTTACAATTCTATCTCTCTATCACCTTCTCTGGAGGTCTTTATGGAGAGGCTGGATGGCCATCTGTCAGGAGGGATCGAATGGTGTCTTCTCACATGTCAGAAGGGGGTTGGGACTGGATGGCTCTCTTTGGGGGGTCTCTTCTCTATCTATCTCTCTATCTATCTATCTATCTCCTTCTCTGGGGATCTTTATGCAGAGGCTGGATGGCCATCTGTCAGGAGGGATCGAATTGTGTCTTTTTTCCTGGCAGAAGGGATTTGGACTGGATAGCCTATCTTTAGGGGTCTCTTCTCTATCTATCGATCTCTCTATCACCTTCTCTGGAGGTATTTAAGAAGAGGCTGGATGTCCATCTGTTGGGAGGGATTGAATTGTGTCTTTCCCTGGCAGAAGGGATTCTATCTATCTATCCATCTATCTCTCTATCACCTTCTCTGGGGGTCTTAAAGCAGAGGCTGGATGGCCATCTATCAGGAGGGATTGAATGGTGTCTTTTTTTCCTGGCAGAAGGTTGGACTAGATGGCCCTCTTTGGGGGGTCTCTTCTAACCCTACAATATCTATCTATCCATCCATCTCTACTATCTATCTATCTATCTATCTATCTATCTATCTATCTATCTATCTATCCATCACCTTCTCTGGAGGTCTCTATGCAGAGGCTGACTGGCCATCTGTTGGGAAAGATCTAATTGTGCTGCCTGGCAGAAGGGGGTCAGACTGGATGACCTTTGGGGTCCCCTTCCGATTATACATATAATATTCTAATGTAATGCAATATAATACTACTAATAATAATATATTAAAATTATATATTTTATATTACATGTAATGTTACTAATAATATGACAATATAATGGTACAGTACAATATAGTCATATATCATCCTGATATTGTATAATGCTAATAATATAGCCTAAAGAAGGGAATGATGCTGGGGAAAGAGGAAGGCAAAAGGAAGAGGGGCCGACCAAGGGCAAGGTGGATGGACGGCATCCTTGAAGGGACTGGACTGACCTTGAAGGAGACCCTGGGGGTGGGGACGGCCCACAGGGAGCTCTGGCCTGGGCTGGTCCATGAGGTCACGAAGAGTCAGAAATGACTGAACGAATGCACAACAACAATAATATATTGTATATACATATAATATAATGTCTTTAGGCAGAGGCTGACTAGCCATCTGTTGGGAGAGATCGAATTGTGCTGCCTGACAGAAGGGGGGTCGGACTGGATAACCTTTGGGGTCCCCTTCCGATTATACATATAATGTAATATTATAATGTAATACAATATAATACTAATAATATGATATTATAACTATATATCTTATATTACATGTAATATTACTAATAATATAACAATATATTGGTATAGTACGATATAGTAATATATAATACTGATATTGTACTATGCTAATAATATATCGTATATACGTATAATACTAATAATATAATTTTCTATTTTATATTACACGTAATATTACTAATAGTATTACTATTATTTTTATTTATTAACTTTATTTATACCCCGCAAAATCTCCCAAAGGACTCAATGCGGCTGACAAAGGCCGAGGCTAATAATATATTGCATATACATATAATATAATGTAATGCAATATAATACTAATCATATGATATTATAATTATATATTTTATATTACACGTAATATTACTAATAATACGACAATATAATGGTATAGTGCAATATAGTAACATATAATACTGATACTGGGCTATGTTAATAATATATTACATATACATATAATGTAATGCAATATAATACTAATCATATGATATTATAATTATATATTTTATATTACACGTAATATTACTAATAATACGACAATATAATGGTATAGTACAATATAGTAACATATAATACTGATATTGCGCTATGTTAATAATATATTACATATACATATAATGTAATGCAATACAGGGTTAGTCAAAATGAATAGGCCAATATTCATTATTCATTATTCATTATTGGCCTATTCATTTTGACTAACCCTGTATAATACTAATCATATGATATTATAATTATATATTTTATATTACACATAATATTACTAATAATATTACAATATAATGGTATAGTGCAATATAGTCATATATCATACTGATGTACTATGCTAATAATATAATATAATATTTATAATGTTATAGTGTAATACAATGTTATACTAATACTAATAATATAATAATATATTATAAATATACATTGTATATTACATGTAATATTGCTAATAATATGACAATATAATGGGATAGTACAATATAGTCATATATAATACTGATACTAATAATATGATATTATTATTACATATTTTATATTACACATAATATTACTAATATTACAATATAATGGTATAGTACAATATAGTCATATATAATACTGATATTGTACTATGCTAATAATATATTGCATATACATATAGTGTAATGCAATATAATACTAATAATATGATATATATATAAATACAATTATATATTTTATATTACACATAATATTACTAATAATATTACAATATAATGGTATAGTGCAATATAGTAATATGTAATACTGATATTGTGCTATGCTAATTATATATTGTATATACATATAATATATTATAATGTAATGCTATAGAATACTAATAATATGATATTATGATTATTATATATATTTATATATTACTAACAATATAATGGTATAGTACAACATAGTAATATAGAATACTGATATTGTACTATGCTAATAATATAATATATTGTGTGTGTGTATATATATATGTCAAACAGACCTCACTACCTCTGAGGATGCTTGCCATAGATGCAGGCGAAACGTCAGGAGAGAATGCCTCTAGATCATGGCCATACAGCCCAAAAAGCCCTACAACGACCTACATATATATATATTGTATGTGTGTGTATATATATCTTGTAATAAATGCCCATCCCAGGAACACAGGTTGTGCGGTCAGCGTGTGACCTGTCCTTCTCTCTTGTCTACCAGGCCCCGCGACCCCTTCTTTGGGGGCATCACAAGGGAGGAGGAGGATGACGAAGAGGATGAGGATGATGACGGCGGCCCCTCCTTTGGGCCGCGGGGCTTTGGCGCCTTTGGGGGCTTTGGCTTCCCCTTTGGCCCCGGCGGGATGCGCTTCCACGACGCCTTTGGGTTCGAGGAGCTCTTCCGGGACTTCAACGACCTCTTCAGCGACATGGGGGCCGTGGGGCTGCCCTCCCGGCCCTTGGGTGAGTCTGGACACACTTCCCCCCTCCTGCCTCCGTGTTACGGGGATCCTGGGAGTTGCAGTTCTGCAAGGCCGTTCATTCAAGGCTGCCTAGGTGCCCTTTTAGCCCTGGCTCAGTGCTATGTGACTCCTGGGGAGAGGAGAGGCCTCTCTAGTCGGAGCCCCCCTCCATTCTGCCTTGGCCACTGATCCCTGAACTCAGCTTGGAAACTCCTCATTCTCTCCATGATTCCATGCGGGGCTAATCATATTTATCTTCCTTCCTCCCCCTCCTCTCTTTCTCTCATGTCAGTGGCCATAAATCTTTGGCTGGATGGACATCTGTCAGGAGGGCTTCAGTTGTGCCTTCCTGCCTGGTCTGGGTGGCCCTTGCGTCCCTTCCAGCTTTAAGATTCCATGACGCTATCTATCTGTCTATCTTATTTATATTATCTATCTTATCTATCTATCTATCATCTTATTTATCTTATCTATCTATCTATCTATCTATCTATCTATCTATCTACTTGTTTATCTTATCTATCTATCTATCTTATTTATTTTATCTATCTATCATCTATCTATCATTTTATTTATCTTATCTATCTTCTTATTTATTTTATCTATCTATCATCTATCTGTCTTCTTATCTATCTACTTATTTATCTTATCTATCTTCTTGTTTATCTTACCTATCTATCTTCTCATATATATATATATATATATATATATATATATACATACACACACACACATACTTGTTTATCTTATCTATCTATCGTCTCATTATATATATATTCTTATTTATCCTATCTATCTATCGATCGATCTTCTTGTTTATCTTATCTATCTATCATGTTATTATATATATATATTCTTATTTATCTTATTTATCCTATCTATCTATCGATCGATCTTCTTGTTTATCTTATATATCTATCGTTTATTATATATACATTCTTATTTATCTTATCTATCTATCTATCTATCTTATCTATCTTCTTGTTTATCTTACCTATCTACTCATATATATATATATATTATACTAGCTGTGCCCTGCCACGCGTTGCTGTGGCCTATAGTAAAACTTATCAAAGTTGAGGTAGATATCTGGACTATTATGAAAGAGAGGTCCCTACCTATTCCTTCCCCTTTTCCTCCCCCTTTCTCTCCTTTCTTCCTTCTCTACCTCTTTCTTTCTTTCACTACTTGGTTTCATCCTTCGCTCTTTCCTTCATTCCCTCCCCCTTTCTTCCTTTGCCTTTCTTCCCTCCCTGTTTGCTTCCTTCTTTCACTTTTTATTTCCTTTATTTTACCACCATCATAACAATAACAATAATGCAATGCATTGCCTCTGGGACCTGACACCTCTCCCATTCCTCCAGGGTCTCATAGGAACAATAGCATAATAATAATAATAATAATAATAATAATAATAATAGAAATAACAACCTTTACCCGCCACGTGTTGCTGTGGCCAATCTTCCCTCTTTCTCTCCTTCTTTCCCTCCTTCCTTCCTTCCCTCCTCTTTCCTTCTCTCTTCTTTCTCTCTTTCCTTCCTTCCCCTTTTTCTTTCTTTCTGCTGTCTCTCTTTTCTTCCTTCCATCTTTCCTTTTCTTCCTTCTTTCTTCCTCTTTCTCTAACTTTCCTTCCTTCCCCTTTTCTTCCTCCCTTTCTCTTTCTTCCTTCTTTCCTTCCTTCCTGTCTTTCCTAGATTTTGACAGGGCGGGAAGGGGCGGGGCGGGGTTTGGAGGTGGCGTGAAGTAAAAGGAGGTAAGATTGGGGTGGGGGAGTGATGGAGCGTGGGGTTGCGTGTGTGTGTGCGGCGGCGGGGGGGGGATGGAGCGTGGGGTTGTGTGTGTGTGTGCGGCGGCGGGGGGAGTGGGGTTGTGTGTGTGTGCGGCGGCGGGGGGAGTGATGGAGCGTGGGGTTGCGTGTGTGTGTGCGGTGGCGGGGGGAGTGGGGTTGCATGTGTGTGTGCGGCGGCGGGGGGAGTGATGGAGTGTGGGGTTGTGTGTGTGTGTGGCGGGGGGGGTGGGGTGCGTGTGAGCGGGGGGGGGGAGTGATGGAGTGTGGGGTTGTGTGTGTATGTGCGGCAGGGGTGTGTGTGTGTGCGGGAAGCGGCGCGGCGGGGCTTGGAGTGGGCATGGTTTCCGCAGAGGGAACGTTGGCTGGAAGGGCATGTGCGCGCGCAAGGGAACTTGCGGCTGGGCGCCAATGCGCATGCTCAGTTGTTTTGCCGTTTTGTGAGTGTGTTGTTGTGTTGTTTTTCATTTTGAGTAGATATGTTTGTACCTTGTGGGTTGTGTTATGGGCATGGGAATTTTGGTTAAGTTTTGTTGGGTTTTTTTGAGTTTTGTTGTTTTGCCGTTTTGTGAGTGTGTTGTTGTGTTGTTTTTCATTTTGAGTAATATGTTTGTACCTTGTGGGTTGTGTTATGAGCATGGGAATTTTGGTTAAGTTTCGTTGGTTTTTTTAGAGTTTTATCCTTTTGCCGTTTTGTGAGTGTGTTGTTGTGTTGTTTTTCATTTTGAGTAGATATGTTTGTACCTTGTGGGTTGTGTTATGGGCATGGGAATTTTGGTTAAGTTTCGTTGGGGGGTTTTTGAGTTTTGTTTCCTCGTTGGATGCCCCTAACAAATTTATATATATAGATATATACATGTTTATCTTATCTATCTATCGTCTCATTATATATATATTCTTATTTATCCTATCTGTCTATCGATCGATCTTCTTGTTTATCTTATCTATCTATCGTTTATTATATATATATTCTTATTTATCTTATCTATCTATCTATCCTTCTTCTTGTTTATCTTATCTATCTATTTATCTTCTTATTTATCTTATCTATCTATCTATCTATCTAACTGTCTATCTATCTTTTAATTTATCTTATCTATTTTACTGTCTTTCTGTCCAGTTATCTGTATCTATCCCTCTCTCTCTCTTTCTCTTTTTCTCTCTCTCTCCTCCTGTCTGTCTCTATCTATCCATCCATCCATCCATCTATCTATCTTCCTGTTTGTCTTTCCTCTTTGAGGTCTTTCAGCGGCGCCTGGCTGGCCATCCGTTGGGTGGGATGGGATGTGGCGTGCTTCCTGGCCGGAGGGGGCCAGACTGGATGCCCTTTGGGGTTCCCTTCCAACGCTAGGATTTCCTGCTTTGTTTTCTGGGCAGAGATGCCGGGCCTGGAGGCCCCTCCACCACTGGGAGACCCTTCCCTCCTGAAGAGGCGGACGCTGCGGGACTCCATGCTCAAATACCCGGACAGCCCTTGTCCTCAAGGCAGAGCCGTGGACGATGGGTTGCGTCCTCCGCCTCCTGAGAAGAAGCCCTGGCCTCCCTTCCAGGCGGTACGGCATCACCCCCCTCCACTGCCCATTGACTCTTTCATTCATACCATGCAATGCAATGCAAATTACATTTAAATTTTACACACCTTTTTTTATTGTTCTGTGGTGCATTTTTGACTTTTTTTTACTGTCCATTTTTGTCTATTTGCTTGTGGAGAATACCGAACACCCGATTTCCCGATCAATATACTGATAAAATAAATAAATAAAAGTTCTCTCCAGGAATCCTTTGGTCTTCCAAGGTGATCAACACTTTGGACAGCAGCCTCCTTGCAAATGGAGAATGGCGTATTTTCCCGTAGTTCTCCATAGAAATTATGACTATTTCTCTCTCTTTTGTTTTTGCAGCCGGGAGAGGATCCTTCAGCTCTAGCAGAGATTCCCAAAGAGGATGGAGGTATGTATTTATTTATCATGTCTCAGCCACTGGTTGGCGTTCCAAGTTTTCGCCTGCCACTTTTGGACTCTTGCTTGTTGAGGTGTTCCTGCATTAGAATCAGTGGTGCATGAGACTCCAAAGCATGTTGTTTCTTCCCTGGCAGACCTGGACTCGCGCGTCCGCTCCGAAGGCCTCCGGACGGTCCTCCCGCCGCCCTCCCAGCCCCGCTCCTACTTCCAAAGCGTTTCCGTCACCAAGGTGGTGGCCCCCGACGGGGTGAGTAAGCTGAATCTGGGGGTGCATCCACACGGAAAACATTTAACACGGGTCGACGCCTTAGTTAGGGGACCCTTGGTCTATTCAGTCTATTTTCCACTCCCTCCGTTCTCCAATCTAATCTGGCTTCTCTGGAAAACCCAAGAGAAAAGGACCTTTCGCCCGTTTCCCTTTCCCCTCTGGCCTGGGAACCAGCCCTGAAATCCCAAATGTCAGCTTCACCTGTAATATGTGACACCTCTGTGTCTTGGCAAACTACAACTCTCTGTGCGTGTAAGAATTCCAGGCACCTTGTCCACGTTTTCCTTCCGTTTTCCCGCAGACGGTGGAGGAGCGCCGGACGGTGCGTGACAGCCAGGGCCACGAGGAGACGGTGGTCACTCGCCGGAGCGGAGCCGAGACCCTTTTGGACCGGCCAGGTGAGTCCCAGGTGGAGGGACCGCTCTTCCACGGCTCCCCAAAGGCGCCCCAGGCCAAATTCCGGTGCTCCTCAGACTGGGAAGGGCATCCACCATGGAAAGTTACCACACAATATCAAGAACACATCATAGACTCCAAAGGGAGCCCCAAAGACCATCTGTTCTGACCCCCTTCCGCCAGACAGGAAGGCACAACCCAAGCCCTCGAATGGGTAGATAGATAGATAGATAGATAGATAGATAGATAGATACATACATACATACATACATACATACATAGATACATAGATACATAGATACATAGATACATAGATACATAGATACATAGATGGGTGGATGGGTGGATAGATGGATAGATGGGTGGATGGATGGATGGATAGATGGGTGGGTGGGTGGATTGGTAGACAGATGGATGGATGGATGGATGGGTAGATAGATAGATGGATGGATGGATGGATGGATGGATGGATGGATAGATAGATAGATAGATAGATAGATAGATAGATAGATAGATAGATAGATGAGCGGATGGGTAGATAGATGGGTAGATAGATGGGTGGGTGGATTGGTAGACAGATGGATGCATGGGTAGATGGATGGGTGGATGGGTAGATGGATGGATGGACAGATGGATGAATTGGTGGATGGATGGATAGATAGATTGGTGGATGGGTGGATGGATGGATGGATGGATGGATGGATGGATAGATAGATAGATAGATAGATGAGTGGATGGGTAGATAGATGGATGGATGGGTGAATGGGTAGATGGGTAGATAGATGGGTAGATAGATAGATGGGTGGGTGGGTGGATTGGTAGACAGATGGATGCATGGGTAGATGGATGGGTAGATGGATGGATGGACAGATGGATGAATTGGTGGATGGATGGATAGGTAGATTGGTGGATGGGTAGATGGATGGGTGAATGGATAGATGGGTAGATAGATAGATGCATAAATAGATAGAGAGATAGATAGATAGATGGGTGGGTGGATGGGTGGGCGGGTGGAACATAGATGGATGGATGGGTGGGTAGATGGATGGATGGATAGACAGCAAACTAGATAGATAGATGGGTGGATAGGTAGATGGATGGGTAGATAGATGGGTGAATGGATGGAGGGATGGGTAGATGGATGGGTGGATGGGTGGATGGATGGATGGATGGATGGGTAGATAGATAGATGGTTGGGTAGATGGATGGATGGATGGATGGGTAGATCGATGGATGGATGGGTAGATAGATAGATGCATGGATGGATGAGTGGGTAGATAGGAATCAAAAGGTTTTAAGGAACCCCAAGGTCTATCCAGTCCAACCCTATTCACACAATCAAAGCCCTCCTGACAGATGGCCATCTGAGCTCTGTTTAAAACACCACAGAGATAGATATATAGAGAGGGAGAAGGAGAGGGAGAGAGAGATAGGATCACAAAGTTAGAAGGAACCCAAAGGCCATCTAGTCCAACCCCCTCCTGCCAGAAAGGTAGACCTCACCTAACCCTTCCCAACAGATGGCCCTTCAGCCTCTGCTTAAAAGCCTCTAAAGAAGAATGTACAACACACAATGCAAGGCAAATACAAAACAAGCAGCACCGTGAAATGGCCCCGGTTGAGCGCTCTGGAGAACTGGAATGTGTGGCTTGGAGAGCTGCCTTGGGAAGAGAGGCCTTGCAGAACTACAGCTCCCAGGAGCCCACGGCCTTGAGCCAGGGCAGTTCAAGTGGCGCCAAACTGCATTAATTCCACAGTGCAGATGCACCCTCACTCTCGAAACCCATCCCTGTCATTGGTTGAATTGTTATCACCAAGTTTGATGGTTTTATGCCGGGTGATGTTCTTGCGTTATCTCCTTCTGGCCCAGTTTATAGCTGTTTATGATGCAGCGTAATGACTTCGGGAGCTGAGTTCCCAGCTTGGGCCGATAAGCCACGGGGAGAGAGCATTGTGGCGGCCTTCCGTGCGGCCGGAGGACCTTGGCCTCCTCCGGGAGAGATACAGCAGGGAGGGCATCAATCCATAAATACAGTCGTAATAATAATAATGATAGGAATGCTACGAGGCCTTCCTCCTTGCCCCGTCACCAGTGGGACTAAACCAAGCGTTTGGGGGCAGCCAAAGCACAAGGCATCCGCCTCCCTGGTTATGGAAACACGGAGGTCTCAAGGCAATCAGAACCAACATACACGTTGGTTTTAATGCTAATTAATTTAAGTTTAATTAGCATTAAATATCGTTGCAGCTGCAAAGTCAATCAGTGAGGGTGCTTGCATAGCATTGAGTAACCATGAAGATGCAAAGTCAATCAGTGAGGGTCTCTGCATAGAGGTGGCCTGACTGTTGTTGCCTGGAGGCACCCTCTGTGGAATGATGTCCAGGGTGGGAGAAGGAATCTTTGTCTGTTTGAAGCAAGAGTGGATGTTGCAATGAGCAAGTTTAATTAGCATTGAGTAGCCTTGCATCTGCAAAGTCAGTCACTGAGGGTCTCTGCATGGAGACAGCCTGGCTGTTGTTGCCTGGAGACACCCTCTGTGGAATGATGTTCAAGGTGGGAGAAAGAACCCTTGTCTCTTTGAAGGAAGTATGGATGTTGCACTTAGCAAGCTTGAATAGCTATGCAGCTGCAAAGTCAATCAGTGAGGGTCTCTGCATAGAAGTAGTGAAGCAAGTGGAGTGCGTGTATCCCTGTGGAGTGATGTCCAAGTTGGGAGAAAGCACCCTTGTCTGTTTGTAGCAAGTGTGAGTGTTGCAATGAGCACGTTTAATTAGCATGAGTAGCCTTGCAGCTGCAAAGTCAATCAGTGAGGGTATTTGCATTGTTGCCTGGAGGCACCCTCTGTGGAATGATGTCCAGCGTGGGAGAAAGAACCCTTGTCTGTTTGTACAAGTGTAAATGTTGCAATGAGCACGTTTAATGAGCATTGAGTAGCCTTGCAGCTGCAAAGTCAATCAGTGAGGGTCTCTGCATAGAAGTAGAGAAAGAATTCATGTCTGTTTATAGCAAGTGTGGATGTTTCAATTAGCAAGTTTAATTAGCTTTGAGTAGCTTTGCAACTGCAAAGTCAATCAGTGAGGGTATCTGCATAGAGGTGGCCTGACTGTTGTTGCCTGGAGGCACCCTTGGTGGATTGATATCCATGGTGGGAGAAGGAACCTTTGTCTGTTTGAAGCAAGAGTGGATGTTGCAATGAGCAAGTGTAATTAGCATCGAGTAGCCTTGCAGCTGCAAAGTCAATCAGTGAAGGTATTTGCATAGAGGCAGCCTGGCTGTCGTTGCTTGGAGGCGCCCTCTGTGCAGCGTGAACCTTGCCTTGAGCAGGCGTGAATGACATTGCATGAGCCCCCTCCCAAGCCCAGTTTGGGTCTCTCTTTCCGCAGGTCGGCCCCGCAGGGAGGAGGTCCTGGGCGACGCGCCTTCCCTCCTGGACGTTTTCTTTGGCCGCTGGTTCCGGTAGGGGGGCCGAGCGGGCAGGTCGCCTTGGAGGTAAGACGGGTTGGGCGCTGACCCCTTGGACCAGGAATGGGGACTCGGGGGGCTGCATCGGGCGGGATGCAGAAGCCCAATGGGATGTGTAGTCCTCCCCTTTGACCGGCTGTGGGGCTTTCTTTCTTCCTTCCTCCCCAGCGGGTGACCGACTGCCCCTCCGCCCTGGATTGGGCCCCCTCCTCCTCGGATCCGGACCCCTTCCTGCGCGATTCCCTCCCAAGAGAGAACGATTAAAGACCGCCTCTTATTTATTCTCCCGGCCTCCCTTCCGCTCTCTTTTCTCCGAGGTAGACTGCCTTGGGCCACGGAGGCTCTCACTGGAACTCAGGCAGAAATTACGGACTGTGTTGGTGGTGGGTGGCCATCTGTCGGGAGGGCTTGGATGGTGCCTTCCTGCCTAGCAGGCATGGGGTGGGATTGGATGGCCTTTGGGGACCCCTTCCAACTTGATTCTGATTCTGAATCTGCATGATCATCTGTCAGGAGGGCTTTGACTGGGTATCTCCCGCTGGGGAGACAAAACAGAATATAAAATAAATATAAATAAAATATAAATATAGAATATAAATAAAAGGTTTTTTTAATTATTATTATTATTATTATTATTCCAACCTGGCAGAAATGGGGTCAGGCTGGATGATCGTTGGGGGGTGTCTTCTAACTGGATCGTTCTGTGATTCAGTGGGTTCGATGGCCATCTCTTGGGAGGGTTTTGTTGGTGCCGTCCTGCCTGGCAGAAACGGGGTTGGACTGGATGGCCTTTGGGGAACCCTTCCAAGTCTATGATTCAGAATCTGCATGGGCATCTCTTGGGAGGGCTTTGACTGGGTATTCCTGCCTGGCAGAAATGGGGTCAGACTGGATGACCTTTGGGGGGTGCCATCTAACTGGATCATTCTATGATTCACCGGGTTGGATGGCCATCTCTTGGGAGGGCTTTGTGGGTGCCTTTTTGCCTGGCAGGAATGGGGTCAATCTGGCTGGCCTTTGGGAGACCCCTTCCAACGTGATGATTGTATGGTTCAGGGGCTGGATGGCCATCTCTTGGGAGGGCTTGATGGGGGGAGGGTGCCTTCTAACTGGATTGTACTATGATTCAGTGGGTTGGATGGCCATCTCTTGGGAGGGTTTTGTGGGTGCTTTCCTGCCTGGCAGAAAGGGGGTCAGTCTGGATGGCCTTTGGGGGGTGCCTCCTAACTGGATCATTCTATGATTCGGGGTTGGATGGCCATCTCTTGGGAGGGTTTTGTGGGCGCCTTCCTGCCTGGAGTCCCCTTCCAACTTGATCATTGTATGATTCAGGAGCTGGATGGCCATCTGTCAGGAGGGTTTTGTGGGTGCCTTTCTGCCTGGTGGAAATGGGGTCAGTCTGGATGGCCTTTAGAGGCCCCCTTCAACGTGAAGGGGCTGGATGGCCATCTGTGGGGAGGGTGCCTTCCTGCGTGGCGGAAATGGAGTCAGTCTGGCTGGCCTTTGGGGGACCCCTTCCATTGTGATCATTGTATGACATAGGGGCTGGATGGCCATCTGTCAGGAGGGCGTCATGGGGGGGTGCCTTCTAACTGGATTGTTCTATGATTCAGCGGGTTGGATGGCCATCTCTTGGGAGGGTTTTGTGGGTGCCTTCCTGCCTGGAGGCCCCTTCCAACTTGATCATTGTATGATTCAGGGGCTGGATGGCCATCTGTTAGGAGAGCTTCATGGGGGACCCCTTCCAAAGTGATGATTGTATGATTCCGGAGCTGGATGGCCATCTGTCAGGAGGGTTTTATTGGTGCCTTCCTGCCTGGTACAAATAGAGTTGGGCTGGATGGCCTTTGGAGGCCCCTTCCAACGTGAAGGGGCTGGATGGCCATCTGTGGGGAGGGCTTGATTTTGTGGGTGCCTTCCTGCCTGGCGGAAATGGGGTCAGTCTGGCTGGCCTTTGGGGTCCCCTTCCAACGCCGTCATGGTACAATCCATGGTACTTTGGGATGTCCCCAAAGGGTGGAGTGGCGGGGATGCTAGGAGCTGAAGTCCAGTCCCGCCCTGGACTCTGCCTGCCTGCTGACCGGTCACTCCTCCTCCTCCTCCTCCTCCTCCTCGTTTTCCTGGGTGTGCCTTGGCCCGTGCCCAGGCCGGCTGCCCTTTGGCCCCCTCCGAGGAGCATCCCGCCCCTGACCCCCTGCCCAGAGCGGGGGGGGGGGGGATATAAGCCTCCCCGGAGGGAGGGAGGGCGCTGCTCTCTCCTTCTTCTCTTCTTCTTCTTCTGCATCCTCCTCCTCCTCCTCCTCCTCCTCTGCCCGGCCATGGGCTACTTGGGGTTCCTGTCCGCACTCCGTGCCCGCGTCCGGCTGCGCAGCCTCCTCCTCCGGCAGTGCCTGGCCGAAGCGCTCGGGGTCTTCATCCTCATCGTGAGTCCCACCTTCATTACCAAGATCAATATCATTATTAGGATTAGGCTTCTCATCCTTCTTTTCTTTCTTCTTCTTCTTTTTCTCCTCATCCTTTCCTTCCCCTTTTTTCTCATTCTCTTCTTTCTTCATATCCTTCTAATCCTTAATTTATTTATTTATTTCTACTTCTCCTTTTCCTTCTTCTTTCCTTTCTCCTTCTTTTGCTTCTCGTCCTTCTTTCCTTCTTTTCCTTATCCTTTTTTCTTCTCATCCTTTTTTCTTTCTTCTTTTCCTCTTCTTCCTCCTCCTTTTTTTCTTCTCCTCTTTTCCTACTTCTCATTTATTTTCTTCTCTTACTTCTTTTCCTTCTTCTCATTCTTTTTCTTCTTCTTCTTCTCATCCTCCTTTTCCCTCCTCTTCTTCTTGTTCTCCTTTTGTTCTCCTTTTTCTTCTCTTCCTTCTTTTCTTCTTTTCCTTCCTTTTTCTTATTCTTTTTCTTCTCTTCTTTTTTCTTTTCCTTCTTCTCATTATTTTTTCTTCTCCTTTTTCTTCTCATCCTTCTTTTCTTTATTCTTTTCCCTCTTCTTCTTCTCATTCTTTTTTCTTCTTTTTCCTCTTTCTTTCTTCTTTTTCTTCTCTTTCTTTTTTCTTCTCCTTTCTCTTCTCGTCTTTTCCTTCTTCTTCTCATTCTTCTTTTTTCTCCTTTTTCTTCTCACCCTTTTTTTCTTTCCTCCTCCTCCTCCTCCTCATTCTTCTTTCCTTTCTTCTCCTACTTGTGCTCCTTCTTTTCCTTCTTCTTCTTCCTTTTCTCCTCCTTTTTCACAACATAAAACAGCAAATGCAGGGCTTTTTTGGTCCTTGGGAAACTACAGATCCCAGGATCCCGACACATGGAGCCCCGGCAGTTCAAAGTGGTGCCGAGCTGCATTCATGCTCCAGCGCAGATGTGCCCAAGGAAAGCTTTTATGGACCTTGGGAAAGTACAAATCCCAGGATCCCAACACATTGTGGTGCAGAAGCGCCCAGAGAAAGCTGTTTGTGTACTTTGGGGAACTGCACATCCCGGCCTGGCCTGGCCCCGAGCCCACTGTTGACGCCTTTTGCTCCGCAGGCCCCCTCCTGATCTGCCACGGGTATATCTTTAACCCCAAAGCAAACAGAGAGGAGCGGCCCTCCTGGGTTAAGCCGGTGAAGGAGTAACCGGGGGCAGCCACCCTTGAAAAGCGGGCAGAATGGCCCCGGCGAGGCCCCGTCCATAGGGCTGGGACCTCTTGGAGGGGGCCCTTGCACCACCCACTCAGAAAAGCTCCAGTGAAAACGCCGGCAAGTTCTAGTCAGAGGGCATCAGTCTTCTCTGGGTGCCTCTATGCCATGGGAATCCCAGGAATTGTAGTTTTCCAAGGGCCCTGTCCTTCTCTGGATTCCTAGTTTGACTTGGACCATGACCACGGCCTTCTCTGGTTGCCTCTACGCCATGAGAATCTATACTATAGAATTAATGGAGTTTGACACTGCTTGGCCTACCATGGATAAATGCAATGGGATTCCTGGGAGTTGTAGTTTTACAAGGGCCATGACCTTCTCTGAGTGCCTCTATACCATGGGAATCCCAGGAATTGTAGTTTTCCAAGGAGCATGACCTTCTCTGGGTGCGTCAATGCGGTCAAATGACTGCAGTCCCACCCCATTCAATGCTATGGGATTCTGGAAGTTGTTGTTTGCCCTCTTTGGCAGAGTCCCACAGCAGTCCCAAGTGGTACCAAACCGCATTAACTCCTCAGTGTGGATGCCCCTCTGCCCTGCTCCTCCTCCTCCTGCTCACCTGCCTGCTCTGCTCTGCTCTGCTCTGCTCCCCAGGTGATCACCTTGAGTGGGGCGGCGCAGTCGACCACCAGCGCGGGCGCCAAGGGCGGCTACTTCAGCTCGGCCTTCTCCGGCGGCATCGCCGTCATGGTGGCCATCCACATCTCGGGGGGCGTCTCAGGTGAGGGGACCACGCCCAGAAATAATGTCCAGGGTGGGAAGAAGAACCCTTGCCTGTTCGAAGCAAGTGTGCGTGTTGCAATTGGCAAGCTTGAATAGCATTGAGTAGCCACAAAGTTTGCAAAGTCAATCAGTGAAGGTATCTGCATGGAGGTAGCAAAACGAGTGTATATATACTTGTGGAATAATGTCCAGGGTGGGAGAAGGAACCCATGTCTGTTTGCAGCAAGTGTGGATGTTGCAATTGAATAACCACAAAGTTTGCAAAGTCAATCAGTGAGGGCATCTGCATGGTAGCCTGGCTGTTGTGGCCTGGAGGCACCCTCTGTGGAATGATGTCCAGGGTGGGAGGAAGAACCCTTCTCTGTGTGCAACAAGTGTGGAGGTTGTAGTTAGTAAGCTTGAAAAGTAATGAAGCTGTAAAGTCAATTAGTAAAGGTGTCTGCATGGAGGTAGCCTTGCCGTTGTTGCCTGGAGGCACCCTCTGTGGAATAGGGTCCAGGGTGGGAGGAAAAACCCTTGCCTGTTTGAAGCAAGGGCAGATGTTGCAGTTGGCAAGCTTGAATAGCATTGGGAAGCCATGAAGTTTGCAAAGTCAATCAGTGAGGGCATCTGCATGGATGTAGCAAGTTGAGAGTATATATACTTGTGGAAAAATGTCCAGGGTGGAAAAAAGAACCCTTGCCGGTTTGAAGCAAGTGTGCATGTTGCAAATGGCAAGCTTGAATAGCCATGAAGCTGCAAAGTCAATCAGTGAGGGCATCTGCATGGTAGGCTGGCCTCTGTTGCCTGGAGGCACCCTCTATAGAATAATATCCAGGGTGGGAGGAAAAACCCTGGTCTGTTTGAAGCAAGTTGCAGTTGGCAAGCTTGAATAGCATTGGGAAGCCACGAAGTTTGCAAAGTCAATCAGTGAGGGCGTCTGCATAGCAATAGCCTGGCCTCTGTTGCCTGGAGGCACCCTCTGCTTGGGAGGCGTTCACTGGCACTGGATTGTTTGCTGCCTGGAATCCCCCTGTTCTTGAGTTCTTTGTTTACTGCCATCCTTCCTTCCTGTCCCAAGGATGCCTCCGGGCAACAACACTGATTGACTTTGCAAACTGCATGGCTACTCCTCGGACCTTTATCTCCCTCCGTTGGCCTTATCGCCGCTGACCTTCAGCCCTCCATCGCCCAAAGCGGTGACGCAGGGCATTATCACCGCGCGCCGTTACGCCGCATGGCGACACAGGGTTACCGGTACCGGTTTATGGCGTGACATCATTGCTCTCCACGCATTGCAAGGCGACTGGAAACCCTGGAAATAATCCAATAATAATAATAATAATAATAATAATAATAATAATAATAAATATTAATATTAATAATATTATAATAATAATATAATAACTAATAATAATATCTAATAATAATAATAATAATATCTAATAATAATATCTAATAATAATAATAATATCTAATAATATCTAATAACTAATAATAATAATAATATAATAACTAATAATAATATCTTTATTTATATCCTGCACATTTAACATAAATTACAAGACAAAAAAAATCACACAAAGCACAATAACGTCCAGACGTAAAATATAAATGATTATTACGCATTAAAAACATTTTAAAGCCAGTTGCCATGACACAATCATAGCAACGCATGGCTCCCATGATGGCCTTGTTGCGTGACATTAGTTGCATTGCAAAGGCATTGAAAATGAGGGGTTTTTCAAAAGTAATAATCTGTCAATAAGCAATAATCCATCAATAAGTAATAATCCATCAATGAACTAGGACTGCGTTGCGCAATGTTGTGCTTTTCCAAGCATAATTGCACTGCAAAGTCATTGAAAATGAGGTTTTTTTCAAAAGTAATAATCCATCAACAAGCAATAATCCATCAATAAGTAATAATCCATCAATCAGCAATAATCCATCAATAAGTAATAATCTGTCAATAAGTAATAATCCATCAATAAGTAATAATCTGTCAATAAGTAATAATCCATCAATAAGTAATAATCCATCAACAAGCAATAATCCATCAATAAGTAATAATCCATCAATCAGCAATAATCCTTCAATAAGTAATAATCTGTCAATAAGTAATAATCCATCAATAAACTAGGACCTTATCGCACAACATTGTGCTTTTCCAAGCATAATTGCCTTGCAAAGTCATTGAAAATGAGGGGTTTTTCAAAAGTAATCCATCAATAAGTAATAATCCATCAATAAGTAATAATAAACTAGGACCTTATTGCGCAACATTGTGCTTTTCCAAGCATAATTGCATTTCAAAGTCATTGAAAATTAGTTTTTTTTCGAAAGTAATAATCCATCAACAAGTAATAATCAATAAGTAATAATCCATCAATAAGCTAGGACCGTGTGGCACAATGTTGTGCCTTTCCAAGCATAATTGCATTGCAAAGTCCTTGAAAATGAGGGTTTTTTTCAGAAGTAATAATCCATCAATATGTAATAATCCACCAATAAGTAATAATAATCAATAAACCTTTTTTCCTGCATCCCATTTGCCGTTGTGCCGTCCTAGCAATGCATGGCTGATACTATGGCCTTATTGCACACTGTTGTGCCTTTCCAAGCATAATTGCAAAACAATAATCCATCAATAAGTAATAATCCATCAATAAGCAACAATCCATCAATAAACTAGGACCTTATGCGCAATGTTGTGCTTTTCCAAGCATAATTGAAAATGAGGGGTTTTTCAATAGTAATAATCCATCAGTAAGCAATTATCCATCAATAAGTAATAATCCATCAATAAGTTAGGACCTTATTGCGCAACGTTGTGATTTTCCAAACATAATTGCATTGCAAATTCATTGAAAATAAGGGTTTTTTCAATAGCAATAATCCGTCAATAGGTCCTTTTTCCTGCAGGCAAATTGCCATTGTCCCATCCTCGCGATGCATGGCTGATGCAATGTCCTTATTGCGCCACGTTGTGCCTTTCCAAACATAACTGCATTGCAAAGTCATTGAAAATGAGGGGGTATTCAAAAAGTAATAATCCATCAATAAGTAATAATCCATCAATAAGCTAGGACCTTATTGCGCAATGTTGTGCCTTTCCTAGCATAATTGCATTGCAAAGTCATTGAAAATGAGGGGTTTTTCAATAGCAATAATCCGTCAATAAGTCCTTTTTCCTGCAGGCGAATTGCTGTTGTCCTGTCCTCGCAATGCATGGCTGATGCAATGGCCTTATTGCACAACGTTGTGCCTTTCCAAACATAACTGCATTGCAAAGTCATTGAAAATGAGGGGTTTTTTCAAAAGTAATAATCCATCAATAAGTAATCATCCACCAATAAGTAATAATCATCAATAAACCTTTTTTCCTGCATCTCATTTGCTGTTGTCCCGTCCTCGCGATGCATGGCTGATGCAATGTCCTTATTGCACGACGTTGTGCCTTTCCAAACATAATTGCATTGCAAAGTCATTGAAAACGAGAGGGTTTTTTCAATAGCAATAATCCGTCAATAAGTCCTTTTGCCTGCAGGTGAATTGCTGTTGTCCCGTCCTCGCGATGCATGGCTGATGCAATGTCCTTATTGCGCGACGTTGTGCCTTTCCAAACATAATTGCATTGCAAAGTCATTGAAAACGAGAGGGTTTTTTCAATAGCAATAATCCGTCAATAAGTCCTTTTGCCTGCAGGCGAATTGCCGTTGTCCCGTCCTCGCGATGCACGGCTGATGCAAGGGCCCTATTGCGCGAGGTTGTGCCTCGGCAGGCATTGTTTCCCATGGCAGGGCTGTCAGGTCCTTCTTTGTTGTTCCAGGGGGGCACCTGAACCCGGCCTTCTCGCTGGCCATGTGCCTTTTGGCCCAGTGCCCTTGGTGGAAGCTGCCCGTCTTCTCCGTCGTCCAGACTGCGAGCGCCTTCTTGGGGGCGGGCACCGTCTACGTCCTCTACTACGGTAACAAACCTCTTTGCATGGAAACGTCATGGAAAGGTTCGGGATCCCGGTGCCGTTGTTGCACCTTCGCAGCCTAGGCCAGGAAGCCCTCTGAAACCACACACCACACAGATGAGTAACATACATGGCAAGCAGTTTATTGAAGACCATTAAAAGCAGTCGCAGAAAAAAGCAATCCACACAAATAGGTAAATCCAGATCCCCCCGTTTGTTTACACATCACGCCCATTATATTCCATGTCCCACGTCCACCTCATGGTTCCGTTCCATGTCGTTTGTCCTGTCAAGGCTCTTCTTTGCTCTCTTCCCAATCATTGATCATGCAAATGTCTGATGGACACTCTTCCCACGCTTCCTTTTGGCCATTTCTCTCAAAACCCTTGCGTTGATTTCTTCTTCTTCCTGGAAGAAAGGAAGGAGAGAAAGAATGAAAGAAGGAAGGAGAGAAGGAAGGAAAGAAGGAGAGAGAAAGAAGGAAGGAAAGAGAGAAGGAAGGAAGGCAAGCAGTTTATTGAAGATAATTAAAAACAGTCGCAGTAAAAAAGCAATCCACAAAAATAGGTAAATCCAGATCCCCCCGTTTGTTTACACATCACATCGCTTATGTTCCATATCCCACGTCCACATGTCGTTTGTCCTGTCGAGGCTCTTCTTTGCTCTCTTCCCAATCATTGATCATGCAAATGTTTGATGGACACTCTTCCCACACTTCCTTTTGGCCATTTCTCTCAAAACCCTTGCATTGATTTCTTCTTCTTCCTGGAAGAAAGGAAGGAGAGAAAGAATGAAAGAAGGAAGGAGAGAAGGAAGGAAGGGGAGAAAGAAGGAAGGAAGCGGAGAAGGAAGGAAGGAAGGAAGGAGAGAAAAGAAGGAGAAGAGAAAGAAGGAAGGAAAGAAGGAAGGAAGGGGAAACAAAGAAGGAAGAAGAAGAAGAGGAAGAAGGGAAGTAGAGAAGGAAGAGAAAAAAAGAAGAAAAGGAGAAAGAAGGAAGGGAGAAGGGAAAGGGAGAAAGAAGGAGAAGGAGAGGAGAAGGAAAGAAAGGGAGGAAGGAGAAGGGGAGGGAGGGAGGAGAGAAAGAAGGAAGGAAGAAAAGAGAGAGAAGGAAGGAAGGGGAGAAAGAAGGAAGGAAGTAGAGAAGGGAGGGAGGGAGGAGAGAAAGAAGGAAGGAAGGGGAAAAAGAAGGAAGAAAAGAGAGAGAAGGAAGGAAGGGGAGAAAGAAGGAAGGAAGTAGAGAAGGGAGGGAGGGAGGAGAGAAAGAAGGAAGGAAGGGGGAAAAGAAGGAAGAAAAGAGAGAGAAAGAAGGAAGGGGAGAAAGAAGGAAGGAAGTAGAGAAGGGAGGGAGGGAGGAGAGAAAGAAGGAAGGAAGGGGGAAAAGAAGGAAGAAAAGAGAGAGAAGGAAGGAAGGGGAGAAAGAAGGAAGGAAGTAGAGAAGGGAGGGAGGGAGGAGAGAAAGAAGGAAGGAAGGGGGAAAAGAAGGAAGAAAAGAGAGAGAAAGAAGGAAGGGGAGAAAGAAGGAAGGAAGTAGAGAAGGGAGGGAGGGAGGAGAGAAAGAAGGAAGGAAGGGGAAAAAGAAGGAAGAAAAGAGAGAGAAGGAAGGAAGGGGAGAAAGAAGGAAGGAAGTAGAGAAGGGAGGGAGGGAGGAGAGAAAGAAGGGAAGGAAGGGGAAAAAGAAGGAAGAAAAGAGAGAGAAGGAAGGAAGGGGAGAAAGAAGGAAGGAAGTAGAGAAGGGAGGGAGGGAGGAGAGAAAGAAGGAAGGAAGGGGGAAAAGAAGGAAGAAAAGAGAGAGAAAGAAGGAAGGGGAGAAAGAAGGAAGGAAGTAGAGAAGGGAGGGAGGGAGGAGAGAAAGAAGGAAGGAAGGGGGAAAAGAAGGAAGAAAAGAGAGAGAAGGAAGGAAGGGGAGAAAGAAGGAAGGAAGTAGAGAAGGGAGGGAGGGAGGAGAGAAAGAAGGAAGGAAGGGGAAAAAGAAGGAAGAAAAGAGAGAGAAGGAAGGAAGGAGAGAAGGAAGGAAGGAGAGGGAGAGAGAAAGAACGAAGGAAGTAGAGAAGGGAGGGAGGGAGGAGAGAAAGAAGGAAGGAAGGGGGAAAAGAAGGAAGAAAAGAGAGAGAAAAGAAGGAAGGAAGGGGAGAAAGAAGGAAGGAAGTAGAGAAGGGAGGGAGGGAGGAGAGAAAGAAGGAAGGAAGGGGAAAAAGAAGGAAAGGAGAAAAAGGAGGGAGGGAAGGAAGAGAAAGAAAGGAAGGAAGAGGGAAAGAGGAAGGAAAAAGAGAAGAGAAGAAGGAAGGAGAAGAGAAGGAGGAAAAGGAAGGGAAGAAAGAGAAGGGAAGAGAAGAGGGAGGAAGGGAGGGAAGAAGAAAGGAAGAAAAAGAAGGAAAGAAAGAGAGAGAAAGAAGGAAGGGAGAAAGAAGGAAAGGAATAGAGAAGGGAGGGAAGGGAGGGAGAAAGAAGAAGGAAGGGGAAAAAGAAGGAAAGAAAGAAGAGAAGAAGGAAGGAAGGGGGAAGAAGGAAGGAAAGAAGAAGGGGAGGAAGGGGGAAGAAGAAAGGAGGAAGGGGAAAAAGAAGGAAAGAAAGAAGAAAGAAAAGGAAGGAAGGAGAGAAAGGAAGAAGGAGAGGAGAAGAGAAAGAAGAAGGGGAAGAGAAAGGGAGGGAGGGAGGATGAAAAGAAGGAGAAGGAAGAAGAAGAAAAAGAAGAAGAGAAAGGAAGGAAAGAAGAAAGTAAATGCAAGGAAAAGGAGGAAGAAGGAAGGAAGGAGGAAAAGGAAGGAAGGAAGGAAGGAGAGAAAAGAAGGAAAGAAGGGGAAAAAAGAAAGGAAAGGAAGAAGAAAGGAAGGAGGAGAAGGAGGAGAGGAAAGAAAAGGAAGGGGAAAAAGGAGGGAAAAGGAGAGAAAGGAGGAAGGAGAAGAAAGGAGAAGGGAAGGAATAAAAGAAGGAAGGAAAGAAGGAAGGGGAGGGAGAAGGAGAAGAAGGAAAGGAAGGGGAAAAAAGAAGGAAGAAAAAGAGAGAAAGAAAGAAGGAAAGGAAGAAGGAAAGGAAGGAAGAAAGAAGGAAGGAAGAAGAAGGGAGGGAGGGAGGATAGAAAGAAGGAAGGAAGGGGAAAAAGAAGGAAGGAAGTAGAGAAGGGAGGGAGGGAGGAGAGAAAGAAGGAAGGAAGGGGAAAAAGAAGGAAGAAAAGAGAGAGAAAGAAGGAAGGAGAGAAGGAAGGAAGGGGAGAAAGAAGGAAGGAAGTAGAGAAGGGAGGGAGGGAGGAGAGAAAGAAGGAAGGAAGGGGAAAAAGAAGGAAGAAAAGAGAGAGAAAGAAGGGAGGGAGGGAGGGAGGAAGGAAGGAAGGGAGTGCTTTGCTGGAGTCTTTTTCATGGCCTCATAAATCAGTTAATTTAGCCTCCCCACACTCTAAGGTGGTACCTAATTTTCCTACTTGACAGATGCAACTGTCTTTCGGGTTGTAAAGGTCGACAACAGGCTACACACAATTGGTTGGAAACCCACTCCAACCCGGGCTGGCTTCGAACTCATGGCCTTTTGGTCAGAGTGATGTGAATGCAGCGGACACTCAGCCAGATGCGCCACAATCCCGGTGCCATATGGTGAATGTTTTCATGGGTCGCCCACAAAAAAGAGGCTCAAAGAGGTCCATGCTAGGTTGCCTATTTCGTATGGATTTTGTAGGATAGGATGCTTCTGCAAAAGCCCTGCTCCAAAACAGAGCGATGGGGCCTGCTGGGGTTTGTTGGCCATCCTTTTGGGGAGGGGATTCTGGGAGGGAGAGTCCAATCGCGCCTCCTTCTGTCCTCACAGATGCCATCCATCACTACAGCAACGGGACCCTGGCGGTGACCGGACCCCGCGAAACGGCCTCCATCTTTGCCACGTACCCGGCTCCTTACCTGTCACTCTGGAACGGCTTCTTCGACCAGGTGAGTGGCTCAAGAGGCTCAAGAGGCATTGAGGGCTTCTTCTGAGGAACCCCAAAGAGCTTGGAGACCTTCTTAGGAATCCCAAGACAGCTTCAGGGGAACGAACCCCAAGACACATTGAGATCTTCTTGGGGCTCGGAGACCTTCTTAGAAACTCAAGGAGGCTTGGAGGGCTTCATGAGGACCATTTTCCTTTGAACTCAAGAACTTGGAGAGCTTCTTAGGAGCCCCATGAGACTTGGAGAGCTTTTTAGGGCTCCCAAAGGGATTGGAGTCCTTCTCGGGAATCCCGGGAGGCTTGGGAGGCTTCATAGGCTCCCTAAAGAGCTTGGGAAGGTACCTAAGGACTCTAAAGGGCTTGGAGAGCACCCGAAGAACCCCAGGAGACTTGGAGAGCTTCTTAGGAGGCCTCCAAGTCTCTTGGGCCTCCTAGGAAGCTCTTCAAGTCTCCTGGGGTTCCTCAGGAGACTTAGCTTTTCAAGTCTCCTGGGGTTCCTCAAGAGACTTGGAGGGCTTCATGGGAATCCAGGAGACTCTGAGAGCTTCTTAGGAACCCTAAAGGGCATGGAGAGTTTCATGGGAACCCCAAGAGACTCCTCAGAGAGCTTCCTAGGAACCCCAAGAGACACAAAGACTTTCTTAGGAAGCCCAGAAGACTTGGAAAGCTTCCTAGGAACCCTAAGAGGCTTGGAGAAATTTTTAGGAGGCCCAAAGGGCTTGGTGGTCTTCATGGGAACTCTAAGAATACTTAATGGGAGCCCCAAGAGACACAAAGAGTTCCTTAGGAACCCCAAAGGACTTGGAGAGGTTTCTAGGAAACCTATAGGGCTTGGAGAACTTCATGGGAACCCCAAGAGACTTGGAGAGCATCTTAGAAGTTTTATAGGGCTTGGAGATATTCATGGGAACCCAAAGGTACTTGGAGAGCATCTTAGAAGGCCCAAGAGACACAAAGAATTTTTGAGGAACCCCAAGAGACTTGGAGAGCTTTTTAGGAACCCTAAAGGACTTGGAGAGCTTAATGGGAGCCCAAAGGGACTCTTCAGCTAGCTTCCTAGGAACCCCAAGAGACACAAAGAGTTTCTTAGGAAGCCCAGGAGACTTGGAGAGCTTTCTAGGAAACCTATAGGGCTTGGAGAACTTCATGGGAACCTCAAGGGACTTGGAAAGCTTCTTAGGAGGCCCAAGAGACACAAAGAATTTTTGAGGAACCCCAAGAGACTTGGAGAACTTCTTAGGAACCCTAAAGGGCTTGGAGAGCTTCATGAGAAAACTAAGAGTAATTCATGGAAACCCTAAGAGACTTTGAGGGTTTCCTAGGAACCCTATAGGACTTGGAGATCTTCATGGCAGTCCTAAGAGGGCTTCATGGGAACTCCAGTACACTTGGAGAGCTTCTTAGGAGGCCCAGGAGACTCAAAGAGTTTCTTAGGGAGCTTAAGAGACTTGGAGGGCCTCCTAGGAAACCCTAAAGGACTTTGAGATCATTGTGGGAACCCCAAGGGACTTGGAAAGCTTCTTAGGAGGCCCAGGAGAACACAAAGAATTTTTGAGGAACCCTAAGAAACTTGGAGGGCTTCCTAGGAACCCTAAAGGACTTGGAGAGCTTCATGGGAACCCCAAGAGACTCTTCAGAGAGCATCCTAGGAACCCCAAGAGACACAAGGAGTTTCTTAGGAAGCCCAGGAGACTTGGAGAGCTTTCTAGGAACCCTATAGGGCTTGGAGAACTTCATGGCAGTCCTAAGAGGGCTTCATGGGAACTCCAGTACACTTGGAGAGCTTCTTAGGAGGCCCAAGAGACACAAAGAGTTTCTTAAGGACCTCAAGAGACTTGGAGAGCTTCCTAGGAACCCAAAAGGGTTTGGAGAGCTTCATAGGAACCCTCAGAGATATCTCAGAGAGCTTCCTAGGAACCCCAAGAGACACAAAGAGTTTCTTAGGAAGCCCAGGAGACTTGGAGAGCTTCCTAAGGACCCTAAGAGGCTTGGCCATCTTCATGGGAACCCCAAGACACAAGAAGTTTCTTAGGAACCCCAAAGAGCTTGGAGAGCTTCATGGAAACCTCAAGGGCTTGGAGAAAACCAAGAGTGATTCCTGGGGGACCCCAAGAGACTGAGAGCTTCATGGGAGGTTTGGGGGGCTTCCTAGGAGGGGGGTCCTCTGCCGGGTGCCCAGCAGTGTGTGTGTCTCCCCCTCCCTCCCTTCCGGCAGGTTCTGGGCACGGCGGTGCTGGTGGTGAGCATCCTGGCGCTGATTGACCCGCGCAACCGGCGCATCCCTCCCGGCCTGGAGCCCCTGGGGGTGGCGCTGCTGGTGGTCTCGCTGGGCCTGGCCCTGGGCGCCAACTGCAGCTGCGCCATCAACCCCGCCCGGGACCTGGGACCACGGCTCTTCACCTTCCTGGCCGGGTGGGGCCCCCAGGTCTTCAGGTAGAGAAAAACCCCTCCCTGCAGAGGTCCTTCCGCTTTGCCTTCTCCCTTCACGGCCTCCTCATCCTCCCCTCTGGGTTCTTCACCCCAGATAATATACCCCACTTGGTTTACACCTCACGTCCATTATATTCCATGTCCCACGTCCACCTCATGGTCCCGCTCCATGTCATTTGCCCTGTGGGTGCTCTTCTTTGCACTCTTCCCGATCGTTGATCACGCAGATGCTTGGCCAACACTCTTCCCAAGCTCCCTTTGGGCCATTTCTCTTGAAACCCTTGCAGTGATTTTTTTCTGCTTCCTGGAAGAAAAGAAGGGGAGAAGGAGAGAAAGAAAGAAAGAAAGAAAGAAAGAAAGAAAGAAAGAAAGAAAGAGGGAGGGAGGGAGGGAAGGAGGGAGAGGGAGGGAAGGAGGGAGGGAGGGAGGGAGGGAGGGAAGGAAGGAAGGAAGGAAGGAAGGAAGGAAGGAA